GAGAGAGAGAGAGAATGCATTACCGCAATGCTAGCCCGAGATTGTGCGGCCTTAATGTGGGCTTGAAGGTGCAGAGGGGGGTGGAAATAGCGGCAGGGGTCCCGATTGCATCGGCCCTTGACAGCGTCCATGCAGACCGTCACAGAGCCGTCCTCGTTCGCCTGCACCGTCTCGAGGGGGTGCGCAAACCGGCACTCCGTCTCGCCGCGTTTGCACGCCCCGCGTTGAAACTCGCGACATACCTACAGCAAGAGCGAACACGCATGGCATGGCACTCTATCTATGTGGCCAAAGGGGGCTGAGGGGCTTGGGGTGGGGCGCAAAACCGGGGGCAGCTCCGGGAACAGTTGGATGAGGCGATAAAGACTCACGTGTGGTCACTCTGTCTATCTGTCTATGTGTCTGTGCGTGCCTCTGTGTGTGTGTGTGTTTCGTATGTATCTGTGTTTCTATTGTATGTGTGGTGAGTGGGAGGAACAACATCATAATAATAATACTTGTGTGTAATAATTTTTATTTTCGACGAAGGAGAAAATAGATCGAGTTTGGATTTTTTTTTTTTTTTAGGACGAGGGATTTTTTTTATCTTGGGAAGGGCGAAGCGAAATGATAAAGCGTTTGGAATTGGAATTAGTTTTTCTTTTTTTCTTTGTCGAAGAAATGTGTCTGATCTTTGGACATTTACGGCGAGTGGCCTCGTGTTGAAATGGTTAAACGGTTAATGGCCAAACGGTTGCGAATCTATTCGTTATTGTTGAATATGCGTGTCGCGTATGAAAGGAATGTGACGAAGGAGGATGAACGATGTGCTCGAACGGAATGTTCGTGCTGATTTGATTTTGCAACAACCAAGGAATGAATATTAATCGTGAATACGATTTTCAGAATTTTTCTTTTTTTTTCGAACAACATTCGAATTTTTCCAGGATATATATTAATATATTCACGATTGATTAATTAGTTGATCACTCAAGCTTACTTTAATTTTTTTTTTTCTTTTTTTAAATGTAACTTCCCATCAATTCTTTTATCACGTAAAACGAAGGAAACTGATTTAATTTAATCTTGAGTATTCAACCGGGATTCCTGGCTAACTATTGTAAAATCGAATGACGATTTGTCAATTCGAATCCAATATGAAAAATGTGAAGGACATATCTCGAATAATATAGAGGATGGAAAAAGGGAATCGAGAGAGGATGTGTATATATATATATAATAAAATGACGGAGACAAATAGAGAAAGAGCGAGAGCGAGACAGAGAGAGAGAGAGAGAGAGAGAGAGAGAAGGTAGAGGCGAAAGTGTGAGAAGAATGCAAGATGGAGAAAGTGAAATAGTGAAAAGAGTGATCGGCAGAAGGAATCGAATAATGCGAAAGAGCGCCCCATTTATGGATTTTCGTACGGGTCTGTCCTGGGAGGCGAGAGAGAGAAGAGAGAGAGAGAGAGAGAGAAAGAGAGAGAGAACAGCCCACCTGACTTTCTATCGGTTTCTCATCTATTATTTCTGGCCGTCAATATCGATACCCCGATCCACTGATTCGAAACTAAGCTTCGAAACTACAACACCAACACGCACTACTACACGATTTCTGAATTTAACTTTCCCCCTAACGAATAATATTTAAAAAAAAAAAATTTTTTTCCCCCCACCGATCGATGATATCGAATCAAAAGCGCAATTCGAAGCAAGGATTCGAAAAAAAAGAAAAAGAAAAAAAAAAAAAAAGACTCGATCGAAATCTCCGAAAGATTTTCAAATTTTTTTCAATTCAGAGAACGAGCCATCATATCAACGCCCAGAAAAATGAAGGGGGTGTGGGGGAGAAAAAAAAAAAAGAAAAAAAAGTACAGACACATCTAATCACTACACTCTACTACATACTGGAACTAAAATACCGTGTTGAATTCTGTCAAATAGGCGTCGCTGGTGTACCCTCGCCCCGCCCAATAAGGTCAAAGGACACAGAGAATCGGACGACTGTGTATCTCGAGAAAGGGGGGTGGGGTCGTGAACCAAAAAAAAAAACAGGAGAAGGGGTGGAGTAGGGGAGGAGATGGGTCGTGTTGGTTGTTGGGTGGTGGTGGTGGTGTGGTGGTGGTGGTGTAGAGTATACAACAGGATGCCTCCACGAGTGCATCCCAGTTCCTCGGTGTTCATATCAATCGGGTTAATTCGCACATGTGTTAGAGGAGTTCCTTGCGCATGCATCACCTACTATTTCCGCCCGTTTGTCTCTTCCGTTTTCGTTGCGATGCGCGCCGTTTTTTGAAAAATATATAGTCCGATGAACCTTCGGTAATATTTCACGGCGATTTATTACCGTGCGCCGCCGATCGTGCGAACGAGAAAGTGACAATGACGGAGCAATGAAAAGGAAGAAATAGAGAAGAAAAAAAAAAAAGAAAAAATGAAAAAGTAAATTGAATAAAAAAATTGTTTATAGACGATAATTATAACCGGCTGATACTTTCTTTGAGAATTGTGTCACCTTTGAAATTGTATCTATCATATTGTTATGTTTCAATGTTGATTGAATCGTTAATTTTTAAGAACGTATTCTAATTGTCGAGATACTAAAGATTAATTTTACACGTATTAAAACGATACAAACAAATTTATGAAATTTATCGAAGCTCGTTACATTTACGGTATATGAAATGAAGCGATGAATATAATTTATTCATTCTCGAATAAGAAAACGAGATTGATTTCGTATAAATAAATGATAAATTCAATAATACGTTAAAATTAATTTTTTATCAGTAGATGTGATATATTTATTTGCACTGTGAAGTTTCTTTTTTTTTTTTTATTTTGCATTGTAATAAAATATGATAAAAATATAAAAATAAAAAATATCATCATAAATATTTTTTACGTGTGGAAAATTATAATAAGTTTTTATAAATAATGATATTTTATTTTTTGAATTGGCGAGCACACGATGAGCACTTTTTCCGATAAAATATATCGAATTTCTGAAATTAAATATGTATAATAGCGTTTCCATTTTAACTGAAATTTATAACATTTGCGTAATTTCAATATTAAAATAGTCATCTACTATGACACGTAAACTAATTGCAAGCCAATACTGCCATACTTATCGGTATCCGATAATATATACCTAGCTACAATTTCAACAATTGAAATGAATCATGCTTGCATGCTTAACAATTTTCTCTAACATTTACCTTAATATAACAAATATATTTAAAAAACGCTACGCATAATTTAATATCAAAATAAATAACATTCTCAGAACTCAGAATGTAAGCGTTTATAAGCGTCCTGAAGTAGCTCGCAGTGAAATAAGTACGCAATTGGTCAGGCAACGAGTCGCCTATATGTTATACTCTTCTACTGAAAATGAAAATTGGTTCTTGATTGGAATACGTTCTTAAAATTTGAAAATTTCTATGTACTGAAACATAATACATAATTCTCAGTGATCCGAGAACTCAAATCAACCTAATTGATTCGCATGGAAAATTCCTCGACGCTTAGATGGCGCTTCTTCTTTGCTCATCTTTTATTCATTATACCAAATATCTTCTTAAAAAGAAAATTGTACCATCTACAGCGAACGTATAGATTCACTTTCATTATTCAAAGAAAACAAAATCACGATGATTCTTCTTTTTTTTTTTTTTTCATTCTCGACCAAAATCGACGTCTAAAATATATCGACGCACGTTTACGCGGAGTGAAAGTGCGGGACGAATCAATAACGAAATATATATATATATATAGTAAAAAAAAAAAAAAAAAAGAAGAGAGAAAAAAGCACATCGAATTTCGTCAACTCGACTGTAACAACTGACTGTAACAACAAACTGTCCGATAAACCACCGATTTTTTCCCTCCCGACTATATATTTTTCACGGTGCATCGCGAAACTCACCTAGCATTCCGTAGAGAACCATGCAAGCCGGGGATACGGCGAGTTTCATTCAGCCGTAGACGCATCATACGTGTGTATATATATATATATATACACGCGCAAAACGTCCAGCGCGTGGATTAATGCAGGCGGCCAACGATCCGCGTCGTTGCGTATTGGCTGTGTGTTCGTGTGTTAGGAAGTGAGACAGCAAGCGGTGTGTGAGTGTGATAACACATGCATCGCGAGACACGGTGTTACGAAAAAAAAAAATTTCGCTATATTTATCTTA